TCTCCAGTAAGTATCTTTCTCTCTTGATCAGTCTTAAAGAAGTATTAAAGTTTTACTATTACTGTTTAAAGATTTGTATGTTGAATTCTCATAACAAGGAATTGTTGTTAAAAGTTAATAAAGATTACTTTGAGTATTTACTGTTGGTCCGAGACTCATATTCTTTAGTCTAACTGTAAACTCCTCGAGTTAGCGACTTGTGGCTCCACTCGTCACGACAAAATCCTCCAACAAATAAATTTGGTGTACAGGTTGGTTTTAATTGAAGCTCCAACAATTAAGCTCACCTGAGTGCTAACCTGTTACTGCTGGCGCAGTCTCGCGGATTTTTGGAGTAGCTAACGAAAGGTTAGTCAGAATAAAGAAAGACGGAAAAAGTAAGAAAGTCGGCCGAAGTAATATAAGTAGTGTAAGTTAGAAATAAGTTAGAATTAAGTAGTTATGGCTACTGCTGGTGTAGATACAACTACAGAGGAGGGTGGTGCACGCCCTAGAGCTGATAGAAGGGCTGATGCTGATCATGAAGCTGCAGCGGAACAACCCATACCAATAGGGCCCCGCGGTGCGACACACTTAACAAGTGCCATACCACTGTATCATGGTACTACAGACGAGGATGTCAAGAGTTTTATCGATGCCTTAGACGAAGCAGCTAGAATATCAGGCTGGACTGATGCCCAGAAAGCTGATATATTATGTTTAAGAACAGCAGGAGAAGCTAAACGTTACATTAGAGCTTATGGCGAGCTTCGTGAAACAACCGATTATCAATACTTAGTGCGTAAGCTGCTAGATGAGTACAGGACATGAGAAACTACCAATGTCATTTTAACAGAAATGTGTAACCTTTATCAACAACGTGGCGAATTGGTCCGAGTTTTTGGACATAAGCTACAGGAGTTAGGTAATAGATTGTGCAAGGCTTATGCACATCCAAGTGAGGATATGTTGCAAGATAGTGTATTAAACAGATTAGCCTTGCCCGAGTTATTGACTGCATTTATAGCAGAATATTTAGGTTTATAGATCTGCTTTTCTCGTAGCTCTTCTCAAGTGGCTACTTCAATTAGATCTAATAAAGTTGCCCAAGGAGAATTTGCTTCGTTTACATGGCCTCTAGCTGCATTACTGTACAGCCTTCATTCGTACTCTGATTTTAGAGAGAGTAAGCCCGATGGCTTCCAGTGCTAGAACTGTGGCAAGATTGGGCACATGGCTAAAAACTGCTTTCAAAAGCCAAAAAGAAATGAGCAGACAGTGTGCTATAACTGTGGCATTACAGGTTACATGGCACGAGACTGCCGACGCCCACGAAAGGCTGAAAACGGAAAAGTCCCCAAAGGCTGGTGGGTACAGAAGGAGGCTTGCTACTAATAACGGTAGACCTACCTTCACTACAGGTCCAATAAACGTAATCCCCGCCAGGATTACAGAGCGAAAGTAGAAGTAGTTCCGGCAGTATGGGATAAGCGATCGAGTATTCATAATATTAATGAAGTATCACCAATAGTTAAAGTAGAAATAGAGGGTATAACATGTCGGTTATTGGTTGATACGGGTGCTTGATCGTCTCTACTAAGTTCTGAACTAGTAGACAGAAATCCGACACTGTTAGATAATGCTTGGAAAAAAATTTCCAGAAGTATTCTAACATCTATAACAGGACACCCTGTTAAAACGTTAGGTAGATATAATATGCAAGTAAAAGTAGGAAACCTAGAGCTAAGTCATTCATTTTACATCTGTAAGCAGATAGACTTAGACACAGATGGTATTATAGGGCAAGATTTCTTAAGAACTTACGACACTGAAATATCTCTTACCCAAAGTAAG